GTTTTACCCAAATGGCTTCAAAAAGTTTCCTCTATGACAAACTCTTTAGCCAGTTAAGACATAGTGTACGACATGAATGGAAACCTGCTAGATTCAATTGTGGTAATTGCTTACTTGGTAAGGAACATCTATTCCCTGGAGACCTGGGCTCTGATTCCAGCTCTTATTCTGTGACATGGCCAGTTGTACCCTCCAGGGACTTCACTTTCCTGATGTCTCAGCAAGAACATATTCCTCACACATTTCTAATTCTATGATTCACAGGAACAGACCCTTAGGACAATCCCCAAGCATTTCAGCAAGCCCTACTGCAAGCTGCCAGCACAAAATGGACACCACAGTGCCAAGCTTACACATTTGTCCTGTAGCCTAGATATTGTTTACTGGAAATACCTCCCTTTTTTGGGGCACGCAACAGAGGCTTTTAGTCTTCTAGCAATCGACAGGCGTGACCTACAAACAAATTTCCTTGGCCTGGCAAAATTGCATCCTTTCTGCCTTACCTCTCTTGCAAAAGAAAATTGCTAGAGGGAAATAGGTAAATTTCAAACTAAGTTACTATTCTAAAAGAGAAGCAGAGAAATTTTCTTACCTGAGGTGTCAGCTCTACTTCTAATTCACCACTTAAGTACTGTCGTTCAAATTCTGCATTTTCTCCCACATATGAAGAGACCATGCGTTTTATCTGCTTGGATCGAAGTAAAAGGCCCAGGCCAAAGTTGTCAACCCTAGAAGAAAAATGCAAGCAACTTGCAATCAAAGCAACATCAGTTAGAACACTAATATCCCTGACTTCCGAAAACATGCAATATTATTCATTTAAAGGAATCCTCTCTGCTGGGCATTGAACCCATATTCTCTCGTAGTCTCCCACCACCCAAAGAGCCTTGCAAGGTGGCTGTTCTTTTCTTATTTTACAGCTAAGGAAACTAAAGCTCAAGACCTTTCAGTGATTTCTGCCGACAGATATCTTGGGTAGTAAGTGACGTAGCCAGTATTCAAACCCACACCAATCCTACAAGTTTGCCCTGCACCTTTCACTCTTTCCACTGCTCCCAAGTGATACTAGCGTAGAAGGCAAGCAGACTGGATCTTGCCCTACACTCTGAAGGCGTATGTAAATGCAAAGGCAATGCCATTCTCCTAACCTGCACTGGCTCCAAGCAGAGAAATTCATTCTGTCCTAAAAAGTGAACACGCATTCTCATATTTAAGAGAGAACAGGGGCGCCTGGGTAGCTCAGTAGGTTAAGCATCTGACTCTTGATTTCGGCTCAGGTCATGATCCCAGAGTCCTGGGATCGAGCCCCATGTTGGGCTCCTTGCTCAGTGGGGAGCCTGCTTCTCCCTCTGCCTGCCACTCCCCCCGCTTGTGCGCACACGCTCTCTCTCACACACAAATAAATAAAATCTTAAAAAAAAAAAAGAAGGAAATACCAAGTGTTGGCAAGAATGTGGAACACCCAGAGCTCTCATATATGAAGAGGAGAATGTCAACTGATCCAACCACTTCTGAAAAATTATTAGCAGTATCTATTGATGCTGAACATATGGATATGCTATGTCAGCAATTCCCCTCCTCGGTCTATGTCCAACAGGAATGCATACATATGTTCCCCAGAAGACAAGAATATTCATAGTCACACTGTCCATGATGGCCAAACACTGGGGCCTCCCCAGTACTACTCCACAGCAGAGCAGAAAAAATGAGCAGTAAGAAGGAATCAGTGACCACCCCTGCAACAATGGAGGGCTCTCACAGGTAAAATGCTAAGCAAAAGAACCACAAGAGAGTACTTACTGACCTATTCCTTTTATATGAAGTTCAAAGTCACACAAGACTCACGGATAAGATCAGAAGTGAGGATAATGGTTAAGTTTGGTGGTGGGAAAGGAAAACAGTGACTCGAAGGAGCACAAGAGGGGCTTTCTGGGGTACTGGTCATGTTCCACTGAAAGAATCTGGGGGCTGGTTACATGGGTCTGCAGCCTGTAAAGATCCTTCAAACTTCAAACCTGTGATATGATCACTTTTCTGTGTTACTCTGTATTATGCTATGATAAAAGTTTTTTTAAGAGACAGAAATACAGTGATAAAGCCAGAGCACCTCCCAGAAATAGAAGCCTTCATTTATGATCTCTCCCTCCTAATCCCCCGAGTATTCTCATGGCCTCTCCCCTATGGAGCCTGGGTCATCTACACTGTTGACTCATCCCATAGTCCTTTACTAAGTTCTTACTGCCCCCCAGGGCTAGTATGTCAGGTCCTGGGCCAGGGGGAGCTCTGAGATATCAAGGGATAAACATGTAAACCTATAATTACAACAGAGGATGAGATGTGCTAAGAGGTCTGCATCAAGTGCAATGAGAACACTGAAGGTCACCCAACAGAGAGGAGAAAGAGGTCCAGAAAAGGCTTATGGAAAATGACACTTGAACAGACTTGAAGAAAAAAGTCTTTGAGAGCAGAGTAGAGGTGTGGACGCAATGAACCAAAAAGGCAGGTGGGCAGCTTTGCAAAGGTGCACAGTGGTGGGACGGGCTCCGTGCTGAGTGTAACTGCAGTACGGACTGGAAGCAAAAGTGAGCAACAGAGGTAGAAGGCAGGCCAGCTTGTCACCTGTCACATGAGCCATACCACGAAATGAAGATTTCATCCTAAAGGATATGGGAGACCCTGTGAATAATTTTAAGTAGAAAATAACAGGGTATACAATTAATTGGAGAGGTTCAGTGACAAAAGGCCGGGAGATCAGTTAAGAGGCTTGAAATAATCCAGATAAGCAAAGACAACGGTCTGAACTAAGGCAGCCCCAAAAGGAGTGGAGAAAAAGGGGACCAGTCAAGGGATATTTGGGGGAAAATAAATCATAGGTTTGTTGCCCATCCTAATGTAGATACAGACCCAGTCCAGAATTCTGGCTTTGGCAATGGAACAGAGTGGGAGAATGGACTGGTGGTTAATTAGTCTACAGTCCCTAGTGACATCCCCTTGCTTGACCCAAGGAGGGATAAGTACGGTACCTTGTGTGACAAACCACTGACGTTTCTCCTAACAAGCTCGTCTCCCCCTTCACTTCGCTCTCCATCCCCACACTCCTCATGCCCACAAATGCCCATCCCCACTCAACTGACTCCTACTTCCCAGAATGCATCACTGCCAAGCCTCTAACCTAGACCAGGAGGTCTAGGCACACTGAATCCCTCCAAGTAGTCCAGGTAACTGTCAACCATTTGCTAAACTTGTTTATAGTTCTAGTCTTCCAATACTGAATCTGAGAACATTTCCCACTCACCACGAGTATAGAAGGAATAGCTACATGATTTATTCTTGCTTGTTTCAAAAGAAAACTAAAGCCTAAACAAGTATTTTCAAGAATGTACTTTTGAGATATGGAGAAATATGGAGAGAATGCCCTGAAGATTAATAATATGCTTGGCCACTAGAGGGATCTTGGAAAAACCAGTTCTTCCACACACTCACACACAATGCCCTCTCTCTGTTTTTTGTCTGTTTTTTACCTACTCCTAATTAATACTTAGCTGGGCCTTCTGTTCTTCAGGTTAACAATTCCATTCTCCTAAATTCAGCTGCACCTGCAGCCTGCCCCATCCTTGCAAATCTTTAGTACAAAAGTAATGGAGTGATCTGTCACTCCTCTCCTACTCTACATCAACAATATTGGAAAATCCTGACTCTACCTTCAAAATCTATCCAGAATCTGAGCATTTCTCACTTCCTCCTGTGTGACCTGCACCATCTCCTGCCTAAAGACAGCAACCTTCCCTACTTCTACTCCTGCTCCCTGCAATCCACTCATAAAATGGCGGCCAAAACCATAAGAATAAAACAAAACATGTCAGATCACGTCACTGCTCTGCCCAAAATGCTGCAATGGCATTCATGCAAAAGCAGGGGTCTCTAGAGTGGCCTGCAAGGCCCTGTAAGATGAGATGCCCTTGACATCTCAGACCTCATTCCTCCCACTTCCCTTTTGCTCACTTTTCTTCTGCTGACCTCCTCCCTGTCCCGCAAACACACCAGGCATACTTCCCAGGCCCTTTGCACTGGCCTCTCCCTGTCTCTGAAACTCCTCCCCAGGTAATGCAAGGTTCACCCCTCATTTCTTTCAAGTCTCTGGTCAACCATCACCTCAATGAGTCTCTCCCTGATTGCCCGACTTTATACTGAAACCTGCTCCTCCATTTTCACATTTGTGGAACATTTGTTGAATGAATTTATTGCTTGATTTCACTTTCTCCCTTCTCACTGGCTCAAAGTGAAAATCACCAAGTCCTCATGCTGGATATTTTCTATTTGCCCTTGCAGATCCATTCGCCAATCTCCAGCTTGCCCTGTGCCGGGATGGCTGACTGGATAGACGGACTCCCTTGCCCTCTGGCTTCTGACCAGGTGCGAGAAGGACGTCATAAAGCTTTCTTCCAGGTCCTAGCAGCTCCCTCCTCTCATTCTTCAGGCCTAAGGCTGGCAGTAATAGCGCTCTCTGATACTAACTCCAGGGTACTTCAATACCCATATTGCTTTCCCTCAACTCTGACCATTCCTTTAAAGAGAGTCCCTTTGGTAAACTCTCTTCAGTTACCCAATATGAGAGTACTATTGATATATCCTCTGGAGCCCTGTCTAAATAGTCGTAACAATAAAATAATCCATGAAAGTGAATATAGTCCATTTGCTTTCTGTAGTCTTTAATATCTGAACCTCCCTCCAAGTATACAGGTCCATATGATAAACCAGAATGTACTTGCCCAATTCACTGACTTCAGAGATTTTTCCCATTACACACTCTTTCATGGATCTCTGTTTGGCTTTTCAACCCATTACACATTTGAACTTGGCTCTGTTTGGAGATGACCTCTCTGTATTTGTTGATCTTGGCTCTGGAAACTATGTATATTTGGCCTTTGCTTTCTTTTTGGACTAACAACTGGCTTGGCAACCAAGCAGTGCTTAAGATGCTCAGCCCAGGCTACCCCCTGACCAGGTACAGAGTTAGTGTTTATGCCTCAAATAAGGCTGTTAGGTAGCTTATAATAAGTGTCTTTCTTGCCACATACTTTCCAACTCACGAATTCAGTAAACATGTATCCCTTCTTTACTGTGTATCAGACAATGATGATACAAAAATGAAAAAGGTAAAGCCCTTACAATAGGAAAAGAGAAGACAGACACAGGCCATCTTTTGCAAATGAGAAACATAACATTTCTAATAGAGAAACATGCATATTAAGGCATCTTGCAGCTCTTTGATATTAAAGGCAATTTTGATGGACTTTCAAAAAGATTATCTTGCTTGCCTTTAGGAGCCAACATTTCCCTAGCACACCTATGGAGGGAGAGATTTGACCATTCTCTTATGGTACCACAACCTCAGGTTCCAAACATTTTAGTGGTAAAAGAAGTCTAAAGCCAAGAATTCAATAAAGAGATATATTTGTGTAAAGCAAAACAGTATTTCATGGAAGACATAAACGTTCCACAAATATTTGTCATGTTCTGAATCTGAAATTTCATTTTCTGAAATCTCATTAATTGGAAATTCTTGTCAAAACAAAACTCTAATCAAAATAAATTTGCAACCATTTACCAAACTGTATTTCTCTTGTTTCCTCTCATTTTAGGCATGCTTAAATCTCAGTTACAGTATATATTTACTCTGATAATATCAAGAATATGAAAAGGAAAGAACAAGCTATATTCGGATAGCACATTAACTTATGACACAGTTATATGGAACAAGTGAACACTCACTCCCTTCCATGAGCTGAGGAGAGAAGTTCAAGTACACATCCCAGGAAGTGGTTAGCCCTTCTCAGACAAAATAATCAATTCTTGGGGGAATGCTTATAATCAGACAAGATGGTCCACAGCTCTCCATTGAGACCTTCAGAGCTGCAGCAGCCTCAACTAATAATAAAGACGGCATAGCGAAGGAGCCACCCACCTTTATCTACTGGTTCAAAACCCCTGGTGCAGAACCAGGAATTTTATTTAGCGTGAAAAACTGCTCACTGGGTCCAGAATTCCTACAGCTGACTAGTATAACACCACATATAAGTAATAGTACTGTAACCACAGGCACAGGAGCATATGTATGATCATACAGTACTTACAGGCTTCCACATGGAAGCTGGGCTGTCCCTAGAGTTGTTTAAATTCCCACCTTCAAGAACTGTAATCTAAAATAATCTTGTCATGAGGAAATGAGTGTGATTAATATAACACATCTATGCTTCCCTTACTTCTCTAATTGGTTGATATATAGTTTACTGTCAAACTTTTGGTTCCTACAGGCTTGTAATTCACATGTCAAAGTCTTCTAAAAAATCAGTGAAATGCATATTTTCAATTTTCCCCACTTTCCTAATCAATCCATATCAAAGTCCTGATTCATGTGAGTGATCCTAAGGGGGAATGTTTATCTCATCAAGACTAACAGTTAAGGGGCGCCTGGGTGGCTCAGTCGGTTAAGCGGCTGCGTTCGGCTCAGGTCATGATCCCAGGGTCCTGGTATGGAGCCCCACATCAGGCTCCTTGCTCAGCAGGGAGCCTGCTTCTCCCTCTCCCTCTGCCTGCCACTTTGCCTACTTGTGAGTGTGCTCTCTCTCTGTCAAATAAATAATCTTAAAAAATAAAAAATAAATAATATTTAAAAAAATAAAAAAGACTAACAGTTAATACTCCACACCAAGATAAGTGGTACCTCATGGCAACAGGTCTCACTGGTAACTAAAAACAAAACAAACACAGATCAAGAGCCCTGAGCTTTGGGAAGTCTTCCAATTCAGTTAGACCCTTACATAAACAGCCTTTTCTAAACGAGAAAGCAGTTATTACTTCTTTTTTTTAAAAGATTTTATTTATTTATTTATTTATTTAGAGGAGAAGGGCAGAGGAAGAGGGATACATAGACTCCTGAGCATGGAGCTGACGAGGGGCTCTATCCCAGGACCCTGAGATCATGACCTGAGCTGAAATCAGGAGTTGGATGCTTAACTGACTAAGCTACCCACGTGCCCCAAGAAAGTAGTTATTACTTCTAAGTTCTCTCCATTTACTCAACAATCCAAACCATCTTTGTTTCTCCAACAAAGCAGTGCTAAGTTTTCCTCATTTATCTGACTCTAATGGCCAAAACAAAGCTGTCATTCCTGTAGATCTCTGGGAGTAAACCCACCTAATTAAGAGAATCAACTGCCAATGAGGGTGTGCAAAGTGCTTTCTTTGTGTTCAATGATGGTTATCAGTATTTACTCTGTATCAAGAATTTACATTGATTTATACACCATCCCTTGTTAGCACTGAGCTATCTGGAAAACCCAACAAAGTACTGATAGTCAAAAGTATTTTTAATAAATACAAAGTAAGCTCAAATAGCACGAGGTGCATTTAAGAAATATCAAGTGATCATGAACAAGTTACTTCTCTATTTACGTATGAGTTTCCTCTGTTAAATGAGGGAAATGGAACAGATGATTTCTACAATCCCATCCAGCTCCAGCACTGGTGGGGAAGAAAAAACTACTGTAAGCAAAAGGATCAGTCTGTAATATATACTGGAGAAGGACTACAATTCAGTATACAAAGAAAGACTAGAAGTCTTCAGAGGAACTCACAAAGGGGAAAGATCAATGAAGGCTAGAGAAGTTCTATAATTGGATAAGGCTTCTTTGAGGATGTGGAACTAAAATCTTAAAAAAAAAATAGATTTTTTTTCTTCATAACAAAATATATTTTAATGTGCATGTCATTATTAAAATGTTATGGCTATTGTTGACTATTTTGATATGAGATCCTACTGTCTTAAGTGCTGGCTGCATATCCTCCTCCTTCTACCAAGACCAGCAACATTTTTAATGGTTAGTGACCTCCTTATATATCATCTAGAATACGGCATAACCGAAAGAGAAGACTTGAAACAGATTTAAAACTGTTTGAGGGGCGCCTGGGTGGCTCAGTCCCTAAGCATCTGCCTTCGGCTCGGGTCGTGGTCCCAGAGTCCTGGGATCGAGCCCCGCATCTGACTCCATGCTCAGCGGGGAGCCTGCTTCTCCCTCTCCCACTGCCTCTGCTTGTGTTCCCTCTCTCGCTGTGTCTCTCTCTGTCAAATGGATAGATAAAATCTTAAAAAAAAAAACAAAAAACTGTTTGAGATCTTCCTCTATACATAATGATCTACAATAACATAAAGAGACATCTCTAAATTATAAAATGCAAGATTCAATTTGAAAATCTGTATTTTAACAATGTATTTGGAATTTAGAAAAATAAAAGCACATCAGATTAAGATATAAATCTATGCAAGTCTGCTTTACTTATGATTATGAAGGATGGTACCAAAAATATTTGAAGAAATGTAACCTCCAACTCTTGAGCTTGTTAAAAACTATCTTGTGATACTTGAGCATATTTTTCATTTTATTCATAAACTTTGTATAATTATAGAGAACTGTCATTTCTTTCAAGCCACTTGTTTTCAAAATGCACACTTACCCTGCATTGTTGCTGACTGCAGTCAGCCCTTTTACTCCAGTCTTCAGTAAGGCTCCTATAAGATTTTCTGGAATTCCACATAACCCAAAACCTATTAAGTGAAAAAGACAATTTGTGAAAATGTTAATCTCTCAGGGAAATATATGTTATCCTTTTCCATAAAAAAAATGCAAAACACGTTATTAGATCTATTAAGCAAAATATACAGATGTATCTCAGCAATTCGGGAAGTGGCTACATAGCTATACCCAAATGTTTTGCACCATTAGATAGCATCAGACATAACCGTCAAACCTTTGAATCATAAGAATAAAGCCAAGTGCAACCAGTTAATATTAGCTATACATCACACACCTTGCACTTAACTGCACATCTATTACTGTCCAACTTTATAATTCAAACTTTATACAGTTACTTTTTCAAGGATGTTTGTTTTATATGCCTGAGTACATTTTGCAGAACCGGAAGCCTAGACCAATGACTTTTATTTCTTTATAACTTCTGCAATTTGTCAAATAGTATTGGGTTTAAAATGGACATTCAATGACTGGTCAGTTGAATGGATGAATGAATGAACAGCAGCCCTAAAAACAAGCCTAGATACCTGTGACCAAGGCCTAGAAATAAGAAAAAATAAGAATAAATAAAAATTATAAGAATCAGGCAGTGAGTTTAATGAGTTTGAGACAATGATTCTAAAAGACATTCCAAACAAGGTGCAGCAATGAACCCAGAGGCTTCAACAACAGAGATGCGTATATGCTTTTTACCTCCTAAAATGAGGAAGGACAAAAGGAATAACTAGGTAGCTGATGAGAGCAATGCAAACGTTTTAGTTAAACAGAATTCCCAAGGATCTAGGAATGTTTTCAAAGCTACTAATAAGACATCACCATTTAGAACTTCAGCTTTTCAAAATAATAGAAAAAGAAACACAAAGGGAAAAAGTGAAACATTAAGTGCTAAACCCTGCTAAATTTTCAAGATGAGGACACTAATAAAATCATTACATAATGAAATAATTACATAATATGCAATAAATGACTAAAAATAAAATAAGTGGCATTTCTGATCTCCACAGCTTTGCCACTGTGATTTCTCTGCTTTGCTAAAAACATAAGGATGATACCATCACCAAAAGGAAAACAATACTATTACTCACCACCAACCAGTATTGTTGCACCATCAGGGATGTCTTTTACAGCTTCCACTGGATCTGTATAAAATTTGGTATGGCGACGTGTGCTGGTTGAAAAGTAGCCAACACATCCCTAAAACATTTTAAAAAATTTTTAAGTGAATCATCATTTGGAGATACATCTTTATTTTGCATGTATACCAATGTATTCACTTTTCATACATACAAGGATAATTTCACTCTCTGCTCTTTGAAATAGAGTGGGGCCATAAGTAATTCATCTTAAGAGTAGGAAGGACATACTCTATCCATAGATTATCACCAGAATTCCCTTGTGATCATGATGGATATCTTCCATTGTATAAAGGAAAACTCTGTGTCATTTGTGGCCACCCAAAAGATTGAAAGTAGATAGCTCATACACTGGGACTCAAACTCACAATAATGATGCCATCAAGCATCAGTTTCTGATAGTGAGCTAACCTTGCATTCAGTCAACAAATATTCACTGAGAATGTACTATGTGCCAACTATTTTGGTGTTTACTCCCATCTAGTAAATATTAAGACATGACTGCCACTCTGCGGGAAATCAAGTACGGTGTGACCAGTATACAAATACATAGTTGGGCCCCTGACCCAATCTTACATCAGTGAATGCCTCCTAAGGGAACAAGCAAGGAACAGTACACAAAAAGACCCATCCCCCTAAGGGGCTTGGAGTTTATAGATGCTGAGAAAAATAGCAAACTATTATCTGCAAGGAAGGCATGGCTAGTCTTACCACAGTGACCTATTTGGTGCAAAAAAGGTTATCTAGTGAACATTCATCATCAGTTTTAAACAGTTTCCCTCTTTATACTTCATCCACAATATGGATAGGAGAAAATCAGAATTGACTATGTTGTAATCATTCATGATAAATATCACCTCTCTTTATGCTTATTATATATTCAACCTAAAAAGGGAGGGAGAAAAGAGAAAGGCTCCTGACTCCTCATATGCTGCCACCTTAAGAAGTTCATAAATGTGGGGCTCCTGGGTGGCTCAGTCGTTAAGTGTCTGCCTTCAGCTCAGGTCATGATTCCGGGGTCCTGGGATCGAGCCCCATGTTGGGCTCTCTGCTCAGCGGGAAGCCTGCTTCTCCCTCTCCCACTCCCCCTGCTTATGTTCTTTCTCTCACTGTCTCGTTCTCTGTCAAATAAATAAATAAAGTCTAAAAAAAAAAAAAAGAAGTTCATAAATGTAAGCTCACACATGCTGCCTTATTGGTCTTTGACAGACATCCTATGGGGTCAAGGTAAAGCATTAATGAGTTTCTAGCATTCTTTTCTTCCTCTATAAACTTCTTTCATTGAAAGTGTCAAATAGTACAAAAGTTTATTTCCTTTAAGAGAATACTGAAAGTCAAATGAGATATGCAAAAGTAGAGGTTACCCAGATGACTTTTGTCCCTTTAAATTCAACCTTGGTTCAGGTCTGGTGAAGAGAGGAGTCTATCCTAGCACACCACTGGGAAATACGTGGAGGCAAAGCTAGCAAAGAATGAGCTCGAGCTGCAGAGAGCTTACTTCTCTGTCCTATCCCCAGCAGCGAGGATTTATTGGATTTTTGTTTAAACATGTACGTATACACACAAATATATTTTTTTTAAATCTTGGAAATGAAAAGTTTGATAGCCTCAAAAAAGAGGACAAAAGATGAATCATAAAATAAAGTTGAGGATATCTGCTCGAATACAGAAAAAAGAAAAATACAGATACTCTAATCCAACCAATTCATTTCACAGATCAAGTTTCTGAAGCTGAGCAAGATCTCGTAATGTACCCAACATTGTGTTACAGCAAAACCAGATCCCAGGTTTTAGCCTTCATCACAGCATCCTTCTACCACAAGCTGTTCCTCTCTGTGACTTTTAAAAGCCCACCGTCTTATTCTACTTCAATTTCATTATTTACAGGTAACAAATCCTTACGAGTGCCCTATTTTTTAATAAAGAACTCTATTGTTATTATCTTTTCTAAAGAGTGAAGAAGTCATTGCTCTGTACACCTTAAACTGATACAGTACTGTTTTGTCAATTATAACTCAAAACTGGAAAAAAGTCAAAGATGCAAAAACATGCAATAAATACACAAATGCTAATCTCTATCTCTTACCAAATAAAAAGGGGTGAAAAGTCAGGGCCTCAGCAGGAGGAAGAAAATAAAAGAACTCATCTACACCTAAGTAGTCAGGGGGTAAAGTCACTCTGAACTACTTATCTGTAGACTGAGAAACATGAATCCTATAGAGAGGAAATCAAGAGAAAACTCATTTCTCCTACAGATCCAGGACACTTTTCACATTCACAAGGGGAAACAAAAGTATATAAGCATAGACTTGTCAGGAATTCTGTCGTTTCAGTTGATAGTGTCTTCATTACAAACAAAAATTATTGAAATGCTTGCCCCACACCTTAAAAAAAATACCTCAGAAGGGGGCTCTTGGGTGGCTCAGTTCGTTGAGCATGTGACTCTTGTTTCAGTTCGGGTCATGATCTCAGGGTTAGGGTTAGGTGAGATCAAGCCCCACATCGGGCTCTGCACTCAGCGCAGAGTCTCCTTGTCCCTTCTTCCTCTACTCTTCCCCCGACTTGCTCACTCTCTCTCTCAAATAAATAAAATCTTTAAAAAAAATACTTCAGAAGCATTTTAGAAAAGACTCAAGTGTTTCATATTTATCTAGATAATCAAAAGCTAAAAGAAATGAGTGAAATGTTTGCAGGCAATGTGAGAATGGTTCAAGATAATGAAGAATTTACACCCAACTTTTTTTTTCATTTTTCCACACATTCAGTTAATATTTGTTGACCTTTGATATCGATTTGTTATATTGACATTTGATATCTATTTGCTAAGAAGTCAATAGTGTGACATAATGAGCCACACTCCAGTAATCTCTGGGTCAAAATACCTTTGTTTCAAATTCCAGTTTAGCCACAATTGCGAAAAACAGAGAAAATTGCAAAATCTGAGTGTAAGAGGTGTTGATTTTAAGTTTACAAAAGGATGACAGTTGTTTCTTAAGGATGTAGTAAGGATTAAGTAATGGTGTATCAGACCCTGTGCTTATAGGCTTCCTTTGGGCAATGTAACCCTCTCTCCATTCCCCACCAGGGCAGTAAGATTAACTTGCCATTGACTGGGCTTTAGTTTTCACATTTAACCTCGCCGCTCTACCTTACCTATACACACAGGCATGTATTACTGATTCTACAAAGACTTTTTTTTAGCATGACCTATGCTCTAGCAAATTAATCCATGCCGTCCTTGTTGAGGGTTTTGAAAAGTGGGTTCCAGCTTTAAGATTACTTTAACATGTTTATTTTGTTTGTAGTCAAGCTTACCATTCTAAGTATTCACAGATTACTGGGCAATCTGACTGTACAAATGCAGGTAGTGAGGCAAAGAGGAAGGAGAATGTCTGAAGCCAGTTGCACCAGAATGTTTCCTGTGGGTCTTTAGGGCTTAGAGCCTCGGACGCAGCACCCCAGAGAAAGCCTCTCGGTTTGTTTACTGCCCACATTCTCTCCCATTCTCCCAGCCTCTGGGAGTCAAGGAGCATCCCTGCTGACATCCTGTAAGACTGAGCAGGGGAGGTGTCTTTTTTCCATAAATAACTGAATTCAAAGTGAAGCTCTACACTGCTCATAAATTTACTTTTACCTTCTAAAATGCTAAAACAATGAGGTGAAAAGATTCAAGCACCATCTGCTACACAAATAAATAAATAGCCTTCAAGTCTGCAGAGTCCTCCTTTACATCTGGGTAACATATTTCATTTTGTTTTCCACTCTCCCGCCTTCTGCAAAATTCCATTTTATGGTGCCCCTAGTTTCTGCTATTACTATTGGAGGAAGGGAATAATAATGACTATACTGCAAAACAACAGTCAAGGTCCTGAAGGATAAGAAATAATCAAAATTCTTATATTGCCATATTTTTCTATTTAATCTATTTCTCCTTTTAAAATTCTCCCCCTCTTCATCCTTTGTCCTCTAGTTAAATTCTTACATTTAGAATTTGAGGTCTGATTCCACTCTTGAGCCTAAATTTTATCTGATAATTTCCCAATTCAGAATCTCCTTCCTTTCTTATTTTTTTATTTTTATTTTTTTTTAAGATTTTATTTATTTATTTGACAGAGAGACAGTGAGAGAGGGAACACAAGCAGGGGGAGTGGGAGAGAGAGAAGCAGAGCAGGGAGCCCAATGCAGGGCTCGATCCCAGGACCCCCAGACCATGACCTGAGCCGAAGGCAGACACTCAATGACTGAGCCACCCAGGCACTCCTGGAATCTCCTTCCTTTCTAACCACTTCTACCATTCTTTCTTTTGCCTAAATTTCTTTTTCTTGTCATTCAGTATTCCAGAACTCTGCCCCAAAATGCACTTCATTTTGAAGGTCTTTCAGGGAAAATCCATATAGCATACTGCTTTTTTATTTTTAAATTAATCTTATCTTAATGATATGAAACTGTACACCCAGGTGTCATTTACCTTGTTACCTTGCAGTTAAAAAAATCAGGACACAGGAAGACTGATACTGCCCACCTCAGTACCAAAGTTTGATAAACAGAAGTGGAAAGGAGAAGCCATATGGAGAGAGATGAAGAGGACCCTGTTGGAAGGAAAAGGCAATAATATGCAGGTGGATACACACACATACACACTTGGCAAGGAGAATATGGCATCAGTGCTAAGTGGAGGTGGAGATATGTGTCGTACCGTTTACCAATGTCAATGGTAAACTGACAGTACAGTATCTATCAAAAGTGGAATGTTCACCTTAAATCAAACACTACCAGTTATGCACTTATGACACGAATAAATAAATCACAAGGACCCTACAGTGAGTTACCGACACTAGGCCAATTCTCTCAAGTAGCGGCATACGGTTTTTGAGGGAACATACATGTTCCTTTTATTCCAACAATGGAGTGATGCCCAGCACTTTAACGGAGCACAGATGAAGGAATGATGCATTCTGCCTGTGCATCAGAAAGCTTGAGGAGTTTGCCAAGAGTTAAAATACTAATGAGGATGGGGAACCCAGAAAGAGAAGCATGAATAAAGGTACAAAGATGTGAACAGGCTCATTGTGCTCAGGGACATGCAGGATCGGGTCCGATGGAGAGAAGCTCGTGAAAATTGGGCTGAAAAGGGAGACTGGGGCAGGCCTTAAGGACCACACTGAGGTTTTGACTTCTTCCTTCAATGAGGAAGGGACAGCAAAGCTTTTGAAACAGATGTCACAACTCATATGAAAGACTGAAACAGGAAAGTGGCAGAGGAAATCATTCTTTCATTCACCCATCCATTTGTTCAAAAATATCCATTTTGTATAAAATATACTAAATACTGGAATACAGAGTTAAGACAAACAAAAAACCACTCAAGCATAGTCCCTGCGCTGATAAAACTTGCAAACTAGCATGGGTAATAGTCATTAAATAATTACAAAAATTTAAATACAAATGTTAATATCTCATCAGGGAGCTATAGGGAAGAAATAGATAGCTGCTGGGAAAGAATGCCAAGGACAACCCCAAGGAAATTTCAGGAAAAGGTGCATACATGACACTGGTTATCCACTGGAGGCGGAGGGAAGAGGAGATGAAAGAAGGGGTCCAAGATTTCACTGGCGGGATATGGGTGCTATTAGCCATAATGAAAACAAAAACAAAACAATGGAGGAAACAACAACTTTATGGCTGGTTCGCTGTGGGTCAGAAAGAGCTTGAAGCATCATCCAGGGGGACTGGACCAGTAAGTTATACCAGGGGAGAATGGAATTGGCAAGAGATCTGGGAAAAAACAGGTTCAAGGAAGAAAGGTAGGTAACGTGTTAATGGTAGTTTCAGGATCTTTTTCCAGTAATAATTTTCCAAAGTGAACGGAGAATAATATTAAATGCTCCTTCTGAAACAGTAATGGAGGAAGAATGATAACTTCAGATGGTGTATTCAAATCTAAGTCCATGCCAATGGCTCTGAAATGTAGTTCTCAGACTAGCAGCATTAACATCACCTGGGAACTCATTTACGTAAAGCATGGGGCCCCACACAGGACCTACTAAATCAAAAACTCTGGAGGTGGACCCAGAAACCAGTTTGCTAAAGCCTCCAGGTAATTCTGAGGCTCATTAAAGTTTGAGAGACTTAACTAACACACCCACACCCACACCCACCCCATCTCATTTTGGCTGCTGGTTATGCTTAGCAGAAAAGTTCTCAAGGTTACTACCTCTGTTTGTCCACAGGGTTCTTTCATCTATGTATTAAACATGTCTATACTATGCCTAATAGTGTGTAATGTTGAGCAGGATGGAGAATAAAGCATACAAGATTGTCCCTGACAACCAGAAACTTGAATCTTGTTAAGAAGTCATTTTAGGGGCACCTGGGTGGCTCAGTCGGTTAAGTGTCTGACTTCGGCTCAAATCACGATTGATCTCTGAGATAGAGTCCTGAGTTGGGCTCCACGCAGTGGGGATTCCACTTGTCCCTCTCCCTCTGCCTTTCTCCCTGCTCGAGCTAGCGCTGTCTAATAAAATCTTAAAAAAAAAAAAAAAAGTTGGGACGCCTGGGGGGCTCAGTCGTTAAGCGTCTGCCTTCGGCTCAGGTTCTTGATCCCAGGGTCCTGGGATCGAGCCCCGCATCGGGCTCCCTGCTCGGCGGGGAGCCTGCTTCCCCCACTTCCACTCCCCCTGCTTGTGTTCCCTCTCTCGCTGTCTCTCTCTCTGTCAAATAAATAAATAAAATCTTTAAAAAAAAAAAAAGTCAATGGATGCATTTGAAAAGTTAAACAAGCACACAAGTGTTCCAGTGTAAGGCAAGTTAGATGAGAATCTAAGGACTAAATAAGCAGTAGGAGCACCAAGTGCCAAGCATGAAGAAACCCCTGGAAGCAGGCATTGGACCTATGATAACCAAACCTCAAAGAGGGAAAGTTTGAAGCTTGATAGGAACTTTCAGCGAGGCACAGGGAAACCTCTGCCACCTAAGAGGTTTGCTGGGCTTCTGAAGCAGTTTAACGCCATGGGAAAGTGAGTAAATTACACTGAGGCAAACAGGTAACTGCCAAAGTTTTTGACCTGGGCCCAAGGGTACGGGAGTGTCCTAGTCTGCATGTTTCAACACCCGCAGCAGTGTGACTGAAGGTCACTCAAGTGCCCTTTTAATAATGCTTTATATATCCAAAGCTATCAGCAATTACCAAAATGCTTCCTAAGAGGCATTTATGAATAAAATATTCTAGTTCTAAATCATCCCCTAGCATTTACCTAAGGGGTTTCTCAGAGATTGCATGCGGGAAAGAGAGCATGGGGCGCGGCAGTTCTCTGTTGAGTACACACCTCGTGCAAGATATGCTTTCAAGCTCAAAACTATTTAATGCGCTACTAAGTACAAACATTACTTTGTTTTTCCCTAGCAAGGAAGGAAGAGGCTCCCGCGGTTACGATGGTAGCCAAAGTAAACTGCCCTCCAGGACCCAGCACTCTCGGCCTGTACTGGCCTCCGAGGGCTCCCGACAGGAACCCCACCTGTGCGTGGCCGTACAGGTAGGGACAGAACCCAGCAAAAAAGAATAAAGAAGACAAGAGAAGAGAAGAGAAGAGAGAAAAGCTTATCAACCCACAATGGCGGCGAAAAGTGCCTCGGAATACCACTTGGTGGAGAGCAGGCAGTAAGGGAGGCACAAGGTTTTCTAAGAGTTTGAAAATGGAAATCCTCCAACCCGGATGCCTGCGCCTCCAGAGCGCGAGCGAGCCACGGCCGGAGCACCACAGGTTTCTCCGTCAGACGGGGAAGATGACCAGGCGAGCGCTCCAGTCCGGGTTCCCCTTCCCACCGCCACGGTGCGACGCGGCCAAATAAGGGAGGACAGGGAGGGCACGGCATACCACCCCGGCGACGCCCAGCATCCGCCCCCTCCACGGCCAACTCGCGCGGACCGGTGGCTAACCTGCCCCGAAATCCCCAACGCAAAGTGCAAACCTGTCCCCTGCTGCCGTCACCCCTGCCCGTCCCTCCACCGGCGCGCCCTCCCGAGAGGCTGCTCGCCAGGCGGAGATGCCAGCCGGGAGGACGCGTGCCCTGGAGAACGCGAGCGAGCCCTGAAGGGCGCGGCGGCGGCGCTGCCAGACGCCCTCCTGCCCCGTTTCAGCTTCTCTCCGCGTGCTTCTACACCCGCTCTCGCCCGGCCGGCGGAAGCGGCTGCAGAACCGCGCAAAAGTAGTCACCCGACGGAGCAGCGAGGCAAGGCAGGCGTCGGCGCGTCTCGGTGCCTCGGAGACGGCGCCACGGACGCTAACTCGTAGGTTGGAGCGGGCGGATGCAGGCAGGAGAGAGGACGCGGGCACCACGTGGGGTTTCGTCTGCGTTCTGCCGGTGCGTGGCCTTCTTCACTAGCACGTTACCTTGGACCAGACGCCCCCGGTGAGGCGGGCGGAGGTGCAGAGTGGGGGCCAGGCGGAGAGGAGTTTGAGAGCCGCCATGTTCCGGGCCGGGCGTGGAGGAGACAACGCGCTGAGGCGCGCGCGTGAGTGTATAGGAGCGCTGCCGGGCCGCAGCGGCGTCAACGCGAAGGGAGGGAAGGGAAGGCGCTCGAGGGGCGGGTTGGAGGCTCGACCGCCCGTCGATGACGTCCTCCCCTCGCTCGCCCACTGAGGCTGCAGCGAGGCTGGGAGGGGCCCGGCCGGTAGCGTAAGCCGGGTGCAGCCGGGGCGGATGGCCGGGGAAGCTCCCCAGCCCCCCGGCGGCGGAGTCTTTTCCCCGCGCGTTCCAGGCAGGTGCGTCGGCACGCACTTGCAAAGCACATAAGGAAATTAAATGAGACCTTAGCTTCCTTGGCAAGTACACCTAATGCAATGAACAATCACAGTCCAGTTTCAAGTCTCCATAAAAGCATTTGCCCTTTCACTGTATTCTTTTAGCTCTTTTTCCCTGATGAATATTATTTTAATCAAAATCAATGAGGGAATAGGATACCAAGTTAGACTATCCAATTACCTTAGGAGAAATTAGTAATGCTCTGAATTTTCAACACATCTTAAGAAGTTGGAAAGAGGTGAAACTCGGTTATTAGAACTTAAGTCCTATTACTAGTCCTAATACAGCAGCTATCTATTGTACTGTATGTAGCTTACAGAATGTGAAAAAGCTAACATTCACAGTTGGGTCTGCTTTTCCACTTTCGCCCTTCCAGAGGGCATATGAAATGGAAAACAGCTTTGTCTAACTGTGGTCATATGACTCACTCTTCTTGGCTGGTCTCACTCTGTTGCTTCTGGCTAAATTAAAGACACATATTTCAAGTCTTGTACTCTGACTCTAATTCTTGTGAGAAAAAAATCAGCCTCACTACTCTATGGTCAAGACACTACTGGTTTTTTGGTAGTTCACTGGCTGTGTTCTATACTTTTTAGATAAAATAGGAATAACTTGAACAAATTACGGAAAAGTTCTGTACAGATTTCCCTCCTGGTTCCACAAAGCCATTTCAATTCTAGTCTGTGTAAAAAAACTATTTTTTTGAATATCTGAATTTTTCTGAACTGATAAGAATAGTCCCCCCTTGCTTTGAAGGACAGTTTTTGACAAATATATTCTGGAAACTTTTCATTCTGTAATCATGTACAGCTTAATTTACCCATTCTTAAAAATTGGAAGAATTGAATTGAATTCAAATCTTTTAAACAAAAGGTCTGATTCCAGAGATGCAATAAGGAAAGTTTATTTTGTATTATGTCATTTTATGTATGTGTATATATATATATATATATCTCATGTGTTATGTTATTTATGTTCATATATACATTCATTTGTGTGTGTATATATATTTATATCTCCTCTCTATCAATTGAGTATAGACAGTTTGTCAAAGTTAGATTGTAAATTGTCATTCTCTGCTTGAGGGATTTTTGTTTAAATTATCCTAAGATACTATTTATTAGCATATACTATTTATTAGCATCATCTCTCATTACTCATAAAGACATCCTGCCCTCAGATGGAGTATTTACTCTTCCAAGCTGTTAAACAGGGGCGGGGCATCTGAAGACTTGTTTTTCAAAAGTTGTTTGACTGGCATAACTAGTAATAGGAATTTTTTTTTTTAAGATTTTATTTATTTGTTTGAGAGAGAGAGAGAGAGAGAGCACAAGCAGGGGAATGGAGAAGCAGGCTCCCCACTGAGCAAGGAACCAAATGCCGGGCTTGATCCCAGGACCCTGGGATCATGACTTGAGCCGAAGGCAGACGCTTAACCGACTGAGCCACTCGGGCTCCCCAGTAACAGGAATTTTTAACTAGGTCATTTGAGTCGATTAAAAAAAAAGTATGCATGCTTCATTGTATACAATGGTTTGTTAATATATGGAAAACAAATCCCTTCAGACAAATAATTTTCCTCTAGTGGATTTGAAAGACATAAATTTGAAATTTTACATAAATCTGTAAATGTATTGTTTTATAATGCAAATCATCTCCTAATTTACTTTTATGTGTTATTTTCATAGATTCTTTGAAGCAGTGCCTTGTATTAACTAATGTGCATTTAATATTCAATGGATAAAAAGTGAATTAAATTTTACTCACAATGTAGGGGAAGAAAAAGTAAAATAAATACATAAGATGTTTGGAGAGAGGGGCTCCTGGGTGGCTCAGTCGTTAAGCGTCTGCCTTTGGCTCATGATCCCAGGGTCCTGCTCAGCGGGAAGCCTGCTTCTCCCTCTCCCACTCCCTCCCTCTCTGCTTGTGTTCCCTCTTTCACTGTGTCTCTATCTGTCAAATAAATAAATAAAAATCTTAAAAAAAAAAAAATGTTTGGAGAGGGTTCAACTCCAGGAATGAAAATGAACATTACTACATTAAGGCATTAAAGAAACTTAAAGGAGCAAAACACAAGAGCGATTTTGTATGCATTCAATTCTGATTGTGTTACTTCTGCTTAAAACCCCTCAGTGATTTTCCCCACTGCCTGTAAGATCCAAAGTTTAAGGTTCCTACCCTGGCATAGAAGGGGATCATCTCCTCTGGTTTTTCTTCCTCCTGCATTATTTCCTTTATATTTCAAGCTATTCAGCGCTTGCCTCTTAACTTCCACAGGATGAATTCACACCACAGACATGGGTAGCAAATGGTAAAGAACATGGACTGTGTGTATAGCTAGGCTGCCTGGGTTCAGATATCGGCTCTGCTATTCTCTAACTGGGGGGGGGGGGTCCCGTGGTTAAGAGTTTAAAAAGAGCCTCAGAATGCAAGATGTAAGGTCATGTCCAGACCAGTGTCTGTTTGCAGTATTCAGGTGCTAGAAGATTAAACTTGTGAACTTATCTATTTTTCAGATGCTTTCTATATTTTCATAAACTGGAAAATATCAGGCAGGATTTAAACCCTGGACTATATGGTATTAAAGACTGCTTTAATCTTTACACCTCCGTCTTTTATGAGATGTCTTTGAAGCTGACCCTAACACCCACGTTTCCCTCATTCTGCCCAAGTACCCAACTTCAGTTTCAGTTTCTCTCTCTTATCTGTTTGATTGCAGTCACTTCCTAGATAAACTTCTTTTCTCTCTCAGAGTTAACCACCTCTTAAATGATCATTTCCAATACAGCTTCAGTCTTCTCACACACTCTCCTGAACTTTTCAGGAATCCTCGTAGGCTACAAGATTAAAGTTCAACATCCATTTGTAGCCAAGATCTCTCTAATCCAGGCTCAGCAAACCATATAACCTTAACAGCTTTATAGAAGTACTTCAGAGGTGCCACAAACATTATATTTTGAAATTAAATCTTAAATTATTTTCCAGCTACTCTATCAATCCTAACAAAGCAGTAGCATGTACACTCAGTTGTGATGTATCTCTGATTTCAACATACTAAAGCTTACCAGATCGCAATTGGGAGGCAAACCTTAGAATAAAGTCTATCCTCTCAGTGCCTATGCTTGAACTTAAAATATTAGTCAGTGATAACGAAGGCTGAGGCTCTGTACTTATTTTTTTATCATTTTCACTTCTGCATGTTGACACATAATTTTGTATAGATGTATAATACTTGCATGCCCTGCTCAGACAAATCTACTGCCTAGCATTATTTCTCCTTACAGCATAGTAGTTTTTCAACAAGAACACCTAAAACACTTCATGATAATGTCGTACTATAGATAGCATTAGAAGTTGTTTTCAATTTTGGTCACTTCATATTCAACATTTGTATATGTAAACAAGAAGTAATCAATATTATTAGTGATTGACTATTGAAGCAAACACTTTCTGCTACTTTTCTTTCAAGCTTCTGATCTACTTTAATTGAAACAGATTTTAGGGATTTTAGGGCGAGCTGCAACATAAATCAGAATTTTCTTAGTATTGTGCACCCAAATAGAAAAACAAAAATAAGAAAACCATCAGGCCTAACCCCATGGTTGCAAAGTTTTTGTTCATCAAAAGAGCTTTGTTATCTTCATTGATTTCATTTATACCAGAAAAAATATTTCACAATTAAAATGAAAAAATCACATTTAAATTATAGAGTACCACTTTTATCTATTTTATATTATTTGGGTTATAAATACAATTTTATTTGAAAGTAAACATTTACTAATTATATTTGGAAACTGTGGTTTTAGCTAACTCAGCCCATCTTCTGTTCCCCATATATACCAAGGGCCTTCCGAGGTGGAGTCTTTGTTCAAGCCTTCTTTCCTATTATTAAAATAAAATGCAGGGGTGCCTGGGTGGCTCAGTTGTTTAAGCAACTGCCTTTGGCTCAGGTCAGGATCCTGGAGACCCGCATCACCCACATGGGGGCTCCCTGCTCAGCCGGAGTCTGCTTCTCCCTCTGGCCCTCCCCCCTCTCATGCTCTCTCTCTCTCTCAAATAAATAAAATCTTAATAAATAAATGAATAAATAAATTGCAAAGGGGAGACCCTCCCCCCTCATGCTCTCTCTGTCTCTCATTCTCTCTCTCTCTCAAATAAATAAATAAAATCTTAATAAATAAATAAATAAATAAAGTGCAAAGGGGAGACCAAACTTGAAAATTCCCTAAGCAAACAAAATCATTTAAGCCATGTAAGCAAAACTAAATCTTATTTCATGAACGTAAGTGAAACTTAGGTTATTTCTTATAAATGCCTCTGATAATCATAAAATAAACAAGTCATCTTCCTAAAACGGTAAAAGATATACACTTAAAATTTTTTATTAAGGTGTAATTGACATATAACATTATATTAGTATCAGTCATACAACATAATGATTTGATAATTGTATATATTGTGAGATGATCACAATAAATCTAGTTAACAGCCATCACCACATATAAATACAATTTTTTTCTTGTGATGAGATCTTAAAAATTACATATAATACAGTATTATTAGTTATAGTCACCGTGCTGTATATTACATCCCATGATTTATTTATTTTATAGCTGGAAGTTTGTAATTTTTGACCCCCTTAATCCATTTTGCCTAATCCCTGCCCCCTCTGGCAACCAGCATTCTGTTCTCTATGACTTTGGGGCTTTTTGTTTGTTTTTCATTTTTTTAGATTCCACATACAAGTGAGATGACACAGTATTTGTCTTTCT